CCGTTTTCCCGGGTCCTTTGCATGCTAGAGAAGGATGATAGATCTCTTTCCACTTGCCTTTGGCAACTTTCGTAGGTGGCATATACCACCCATTCCTATCTAAACCCGGCCACAAACATATGAACATCATGACTAGCTTTATGAAAACCACAAGGTCGGCCATAACTAAGGCAATGTCCAAGTGGTTTTTTGATTTTGGGATCCCTTTCACTGCAGCCAGTTACCGATATTATGCATCAATGGTTGCCACCATTAGGAGTGATCGACTAAAGTCTACCCATCACGGCACATGATGGGTAGACCTGCATAGAGGTGGTCGTTTATTAATGAGCTTAAGATGACACCAAGAAAGGGGGTCTCAATCAGCTTTGATGTTTGGAGGGACTCAAGGGATGAGAGAGATTTTCTTTGGTGTAATAAGAATTTTAATCCGTTTTCAGCTTTATTTGATAGAGTAGTGGCGGAAGTAGGAGTGGGAGAGGAGAATGTCGTTAAGGCGACAATGCTAAGACATGAATATCTGCAGAGATGTTAATGAGATAGAGGAAGCAGTTGGTCCTCTTTAGCTGCTTATTGCATCGAGTTGATATTCACTGCAATCTTAGGAATGTGGACACCATGAAGTTCTAATATCTCCTATCTCGCATCTTTCTCTTGATGAGGTAAACCATCGATGGGAGGGAGCGGATTAAACCAGATGTCACATGCTTTGTAACTTTTTTTTGTCCATGGAGTCTATTTAAAATCAGGTCGAAGATGATGGTTGCCTCAAATGAGTGACTTTCTGCCCTTATCTCAATGTCTGATGCTGATTAGAAAATTACTGGCAAACTCATCTCCACGAGGTTCTAGGATAAGTGCCGGAACATAATGGCAACCACAGCTCCTACATTTGGCAATGTTGAAGGTCGTTTGACGGTGACAAGAAATCTATTATTGGGTACCTCTACAAAGGGATTGAGAGACTGAAGGCCGTTGCTTAAGAGGCTTGCTCCTTTCAGAGTTGATGGAGGACAGATGGATGAGGTAGTTGGGCAAACCGATTTACTATGAAGGTAAATGGCCCGCAGCCATTTAGAGCTTTGATCATTAAGAGATCCAATTATGGTTTTGATGATGGTTCACGCGATTAATCATGGTGTATCGTCTTCATATCTGCAATGTCTAGGTTTCTTCAATCCTGACTATAACTATTTAAAGCCATATTCCCCCAAGATCATAGAAGGAATGAAATTCACAAAAGAAAGCTTTGAGAGAAATAAGACAAACAAATTAAAGCTCCAAAGGATATAAAAATCAACCTTATTCGTTTCTTAGCTTCCCTTGTACTGGAATGCTAAAGAGACATTTTCAACTAACAGTGCCAAGTTATCTCAGAGTAACATTGATCCAGGCTAGCTCACAAGTCCTTTCTTATTCTCATTTCTCATCATTTTATTTTCATATTAGTTGGGGCATTTCTCAGCTAAACAGTGAAAGTTATGACATTAATTAACTGCACTTCAACAAAGCGTAGTGCTCAAAGAGCTCGGTTAAACTTGTTTTCGTACAAAGTATGTGTGAAATCAGAATACATTCTAGAGGATGTATGCCCCTAAGAGGAATATATAGACTTCTCCGAGGTTTCAAAAATTCGTTTGCATCAATTACAATTTGAACCTCCAAAACGGGTGGCTGAGGGAATCAAGGACAATGACTTACAACCTCTCGCATATTTATAAGGGATTGTCTACAAAGAGACCATTTGCCTTTTCTACAAAGAGGTCACAACTATTCTCACATATTAGATGTCCAATTGGATGGCTTGGGGTGAGTCGCGAAGTCTGAGAATTTTTTTTTAGAACTTTGTGCCTAATAATGACACTCTAAAAACCACCCATTTTGAAATCTGAGACCAGAATGGTTGTCCTTCTTGTACAAAAGGTATTTGGTCTCTTTGTAAACAATCACTATTTATAAATAATACAACTTAGTGATTAGTGGAACTGGAGGATCCAATGCTCAATAAGAAGACATTACCAGAAGCATTATGTGACAAAGAAGAAGGTGTGAACCATTAGGGATAAGGAGGTGATCAACCAAAGAGGAGGAAACAATTTGAGGAGTTGTAATGTGCAAGTACGTGTGGAGGGAGATTCGACTAGGAGATGGGAGAACAAAGGTGATGATGGTGATTGTAAGGCTAGTGTGTTGCCACTAGATGTAGGTAGGGCTGGCAAGGTGCCAAGCCGGCCCTGGCCCTGGCCTAGGTTGGGTGGGGCCTTATAAAACACAAAATTGAAAAGAAAAAGGGAAAATATAGGGCCAGGCTTGTCTATCGTGGCCCTAGTCTGGCTCAGCCTCAGGTCATGACAGTCCAGTCCTTGCCCGGCTTGAGGGCATATTTTGTGGCCCAAGCCCTAGATTTCAAGGCCAGGTTAGGCTACCTTGCCCATTGCCAGCCGCCCTAGATGGAGACACTCACACAAGAGAGCGTGAGCCTGACTCCACCAGCAACAGTAGGGTGAGGCAAGCTCCAGGATGGCCTAACCTTAGAGACTTTGGACTCAGAGGAAGGTACGACTCCTTACTCAACCAATGGTTCTCAAGATACCAAACCCTAGACATGTTTCTCAACCACTTGGTCCACTTCATCAATGGCACAACAATGATCATGATGACAGTAGTTGGAATGATTTAAGCTCTCGTTATTCAATTTTGTGTAAGATAGTTTGTTTTGATATATGTACTTATGTTTTTCACATTTGATTGTTCCTATGGATGTCATTATTGGAATCTACTCCATTTAGATTGTGAAATGGATGTGCAATACCCATATTGGAACCGAACTATTAATATTTCGGTGTTTTTTGATAATTACATCAACATCAGCAATGATGTGGTCTACTACTTCTGCATTTTATATGCCTTGTTTAGACTTTCCAACATCCTTACAGCTGAATCGGTAGGAACCGGTCCAAGTCACTAATCTGGACCAGTTCAGTTAGCCAGCAGCCACCAGTTCAGGAACCAATACCAGCTTAGTGACGACAATGCAGTTTGGAAGGATACGCCTGGAGGACTGTTACACACCCTTGCAATTTCAATTTGGTCCATTACTAAAAGAGAGTGACTAATTATTTTGACTAATTACTTTGGTATAGTACATGATAACTTGAAACTCAGTAAAATAATTCTAAGATGTTTTGTCTTCCGTCTGGGTCAATAAATAAACAAGACAGGAAAGTTGCACTGGTTCTAATAACAAAAATTGACAACTTCCTCTTACATTGGTCAAATTGCTTGAGATTAGCCAATGAAATTTGTGACAGGAGAAGAGTAATTACCTTATAAGACAATGGATCTCTTGTGCATTTCTCGGATTAAAAGCAGCTACATTTATCGCTGCAGGGGCATTCACAGTTTAAGATGGAAGCTACGACACAATTGATGTGATTCATTTATTTTGATTTAACTGCCACATCCTATAAATCCTAAACAATGCTATTTCTAATAGGCATACCTTTTTGTCAGATCCTTGAAAATCTATACTCATCATCAAAATCGAATTATGAGCCTTCTAATTTTTGCATATGTTGGAGTTGATTTTCAATAGGTTTTTTATTTGTAGAAGTATGGAAGGGTACTTACGGTATTTTTTTTAATAAATACCTCATTATGCTGTACTTTGGATTTTTTTTGAAATGACATTTGTGAAGTTCTTTCATGATATACTCGTTTATTATACGGGGATTCATTTTTATTGGATCTATGATCCATCCAACTCTTTCCCTAAAGAAACCTAAATGTTTTTAAATGTCCACCCCAATTATCAACATAGGGATCTACCCCATGATGTTGTTCCTTATGCTTCAGCTTAGTGGTAGGCATGCCATTTTGAGTGATGGTGGTCTAGGATTTGAACCTTTGAAATCTGTCGAGAAAGGCCCAAACAACCTGACCTAGACTTCGATCTAATTTTTGTCTCCTAGACCTTGGCTTATTGGTACAGATATCAGTTTGGATGAGAGAAGAGCGAGGTCAAGGGACCCTTGAAGTTGTGTAAAAGCTCCATTTATCAACAACACTTAAAATGTATCGATCCTTGTTAAATGGACCAATCCCTTAAATCAAAAGGGTTGTGGGAAAAACAATATACTTGAAAACCAGATCTCCAGGACTTCTATTGACCATTATTATCCTAGGAAAAAGGAAGACCTCTCCTAATTGAAGTTTGAGTATACAATGTTGGAGCTTTCCTCACTCAATCTTCTTGAATCTCAGGTGGTTTCCCTGGAAATGAGTAACATTATCAGAAAAATTTATGAACCATTGGGGTTATTCCTAGTTATATGACCAATGTCCTCCATAACCCAAAGATCTCAAAGGTTGTCCCCCGCTTATTTCCCACTTAACTGTGCTTTCCCACAGTCACAACCTCTTAATCAAACAAAATTGGGTTTATCAATAGCTCCATTTTCCTAGAGGTTATAATGCAAGCTTTCATTAGAAATAATCAAGTGGCTGGCCAATTTAAAAGGAAATACCATATTTGTAGCATCAGCATCGCAAATATGGCTAACCTGAGAAAAGAAGCCCTAGAATATGATAAAAGCAAATGAAAATAAACATCAAAGAAACATCAAGTACCTACATGAACTTCAAATCTACAAAAATATTCCAGTCCAACCATGGAAGGAAAGTAATGGAAAGCAAATTAAGAAATATACAACAGCAACGAACTCAATTGTTATTTGACAATTTTAGTGCTAACACAAAGTAAATTTTTCAATCCCTTTGGCGGTTTGCATTCTGGAGTTTGAGAGTTGTATTTCTTTCTTTATTACTGCTGATAGAAAAGAAAATCTTAAGATGGTTATTATTTTCCCACTTAACAATATGTAGTAGAAACAACCATTGAAAATACCAAGTGGATCATATACAAATTAGGAAGGAAAACAAAATCAGCTTCAAACACATAATTGGAATGAAAATCAACCTCCAAGAAACAACAGGCCCTCTACTGATCTTTCATTATTTCACTAACTATCACAAAGAAAGAACAAACACATGCTTCAAAACTCTATATTCATAGATGACTCCATATTTCAACACATAAGAGATCAAATAAACATCATTACTTAAGAAGAATATTCTGGTGAACTCATCAGCAGGTCCTCACATACCAAGTCAAGAAAAGCCAAACACAAAAGACACTCATATATCTAATTAATAAAAGGAAAAACAGAAGTGAGAGAAAAAAAAGAGATTACATGGTGGAACCATATAATGATCAAAGATCATATATTCATATATGACACATGAGACAACCATGCTTCTCATAAATTACTCAACCATGTCATTATCATCATCCTCATCACCATCATCTTCATCATCAATAGTGAGATCAGCCAACAACTCTTCCAAAGGAACAGAAGGAAGATCATCCCCATCAGCCATTGAAGTTGTCTCAGACCGAGCATAATCTGTGTTCCTATACATTGAAACCTTTGACCGCATCTCAGGATCCTCCTCCAACTCTTCCAAAAATCTCTCATACTCCATATTTCTCTTCGCCTCTTCACCTTTCACCTTTGCACTATTCTCCACCTCCATGGGCAAGCTCTTAAGCTTCCATGGACGGGCTTTTCCTCTCTTCTTCTGCCTCTTCTCCTCATAACTCTTCTTCACCAAAACCACATCAGGAAGACTAAATCCTCTGTACTTCTCCAAGTCCAAATCATTAGTATTTGCCCCATAAAGATCATAACCAAGTGCATAATCGCCAGGATTCAATAGATGGCCAATATGGGTTTTTATAGTGAAGATCAAATCATTCTTTCCAAAATCTGATGCACGAGCAACCTGCGCTTCTCCTAGAGAATATTTTGTTCCACCCACATTTGTCACCATAGTCTCTAATTCAACATCCAAAACCACATATTCAACTAGCTGCCTACTTGTTAATAAAGGCCTAAAGGGGCTCCTCCAATATTGGTTTGCATCCAAGAAAGTATGCCTTAGAGTAAATGGGTCAAGAAGTATAATGTTATTGCTAACTTTTGAGCACAAAACAAGAGGACCCAAGTTCCCCAAACTCAAAGAAACCTTCGGCGGTAGACAAATAAGATCTTCTCGACAAATTGGGCAAATTTCGACAGAGAAAGTATACTTATAATTGTAATTGTTGCTCTTGATGTCATGTGAAACCAGCTGCTTATCGTTACGGGTCTTTGTAGGAACAACATTACCCAAAAAATCAACAAATTTCACCGCATGGCTCCTGTTTCCGAAGAAGAAATCAATGCCCATATGGATTTGCTTTACGTTTATGGCTTGAACAGCTGCTCCATGCCTCAAAATCACCTGTTCCAAAAAGTAGAAGGTCCTTCTATGGGGTACATGTTGTCTTAACTGAACAGATGCCACCCATTGATCTGGATTAGCCTGAACCCTAGTACAAGGTTCACACATGTGCTCTTGTTGAACAAATTCAACAGTATAGGCTTGTTCTAGGATTGCCCCATTAAGAACCTCCTTCTGAATCTTCAATTTGACCTTGATTCTCTTAGAATGGGGCTCAGTCCAAATGAATTCAGCATTAACCAGTCGAACCCTATTCAAATTCTTCAACCTTTTGACGCAAAAGGTTAGCAATTCTTTCGATTCGAGCTCAGCTTTGACCCATGTCTTTGGGGGTTGGAGATAAGAGTTGCATTCAGGACAATGGAGAATTATAACATGTTTTTGCAGACCCTCTGTGATGTCAACTTGTGATCGAAGGCAATTAACGCACATATTTGCAGCGTTTGGGACCATGGAAATACCGCATATGCAACAGAGGACGCGACCTACGGTTTGCTGGACAGTAAACATACCTGCCGCCATTGATGACTCCTGGAGAAAAGCTTGGTACGGGGCTTCGTTTTCAAGGAAATATGCAACCTTGGAATCCCTCTCCCTCTCTCTCTCTCTAGATTCTAAACTTTGAGGCTTTACGTTCAGGGAAAGATGCAATATCGGGTCTCTCTATGCAAGGGAAAGGAGAGGATTTTCTCTCTCTAAGATTTCAGAAGCTCTCCCTTTCTAGATTCTAATCTCTGGGACTTTGATTTTAGGGGGACAAAAAAAAACCCTTAAATTTCTCTCTCTCTAGGATTATGAGAAATGGAACTTGTATTCTCTTTGTTTTGATGGGCTCCGAGCCTTAATGGCGTGAAGATTTGCAGGCTAAATAAGAAAAACCCTAGGGTTTCTCTCTCTCAATAGGGAGGATGTCATCTATAGGAAAAATGAGCAATTTTATTGCCATCGATTTTCAAGATAATATCAGAAATACTCTACAGGTTAAAAATCAAATTCCAATACATGTACAAAAGTATGACTTGGTAGCCCAATGGGGTTCCACTTGGTTATTTGTCAAATTTGTACAGCGAGAGACCATATTATGATTCTCATGATTAAAAAAATAAATAAATTATGAGCATCAGTGTTATAGCCGTCGATTCATTTGCTGGGCGGTGACGGGAAGAGGAACCGCAGGAGTGATCCAATTGGCGCCCTTCACCGTCGATCTATTAATTTGACGGCCATATAATGCCTTTGATCATATAAATCATAGTTTTTAATATAATGCGCGTTGTGGATCCTAAATAATTGAGATAATGATAATGCAGATGATGATCAGTGGTTCCCTGTGCCCTCTCATCGAAATGGAGGGTGCAGATATTTCATCATGGCGAAATACAACATTTGCTCTCATCGGAAGCACTGACACTGGAGTCGTTTCTCATCGTATGGTGCACACCATATCATCATCAACAATACACTGGAGTCGTTTTTCATAGGATGCTGCAAATTCTGCTCACACCACATCAATCAAGCTCAACAAATCACACAAGTACAAGGCCTTGTGGCTTATAAATTCTCCTTTTTTTTTTTTCTTTTTTTTATTTATTATGGGGGGGTGAATGTTTCATGAGGCACCCACATTTAAAGTTTAAACAATCAAAGTAAAGCGCACAGACAAACGTTTGTCCGGAAGATGTAATTTCAATATCGAAACCTTAACGCCTCGCCATGTTAGCTGCCGTGTCCCCAATCCTCACCACATTTGCGCTCGTAACTTACTTTCTTCTTTCGAGGGATCTATAAACAATTGAAAATGGATGGCACAAGATGCATAATGACACTTTTTTATTTTGCCCTCAAAATCGAGATGACCAAATGTAGAATTTTTCAACATAGAAATAAGCCAAATAACCTTTACCAACAGTTTGTTGAGGAGCGCTTCACTTATTCAATAAAAGTTTAGTACTTGTTAAAATTTTTTTCATTTGTTTCAAGGATGAAGGTTTTATAAGGTTCAGGCCCTATGAAAATTAAATAAAGCCGCACCTCATATTATCACCCGGAAAGCACTTTTAGCAATGGAAATCTCCATGATGGCTCTCCAATGCCCACAATAACATTTGAAACTCAAAAAATAGCAATAAAATTTGAAAATAAAAAAAAAAATACTACAGAATTTGCAGATCTGTGAATACTTATTTTAAAGCGAACTAAACAGTTTAAGACAATTTGTTATAATATAAATTATTTTTAAAGCTTGGAATTCTTTTTTTTTTTTACAACCATAATGTTCAAGCCGAGATGATCAATGTAAAGTTTTTTAGTTCTTGAATTACAATTTTTGATGAGGTATGAAATAAGGTTTCACTTATTTTGATAGGACTACAACGCTATCAAACCATTTTCCTTGTTTAAAGACACCTTCAAACTAATAGAACTTTACAATGAATTCCTTTTTATAAGATGGTCACAAATCAAAGTCAAATACAACATTAATAGTTATAATCACCCCTACTTGTCCAAAAGAAAAAGTTATAATCACCCCCCAGATATGAATCAAGCTTCTGATGTACTGTTTACTTTTTCTGAAGTTAAGAAAAGTTTCACTTGGTGTTAAAAGAAGGAAACATCTCAGCCAACCGATTTCGCATTTGATAACTCGTTCTTTCTGACCTATGATTACAAAAGGTAGCAGCCTCATTATATACCTTATAAAAATTTACCCATCATCAAGGAGCACTGATATAAAGAATTCACCATATCCTCTTAAGAAGCTTTTAAAGATGTCATTATGGGCAAAATCTAGTTTTACTAGTAAGTTTCACAATTGTCTGCAAAATAGCACTTATCCAAGAAGAAAAATATGAGGTCAAAATCTCAAAAGAGAGAGAGAGAGAGTGGTAGGGAGGCAAAATAGTTTTGGCAGTACTTGAATCTAAATCTTAACATAGGAATACATTTAGAATGGCAGATTTAGGGAATTCTTTCTTAGAGAAATTTGAGAGAGAGGAGAGATGAACTCTTTGATAAAATAATTATGCTCCACACATTATCGTTGTGATTTTTTATTGTATATATAATTGTGATACAATGGGATAATGAACACTTTCTTATCTTGTTACATTCTATCAGAAGGAAAAAGCAATACTTCTATTGTTGCCTTTCCAAAACTATGATTCTTAAATTTTGTTTTTATTAATTCTAATCCACGATCGACTTTAGGGAGAATTACACCTATACGGTAATATTTTTGCAGCATTAGTCTAGTTATTCCCACATTAACGCGGAGGTCTTATTCTCTCAATTTTCTTTATTTTTTACATTTTTCCGTAGTCCAATATTTGCAACTACTCTCTCTTTTTTTTTTTTCCTGGTTTGTAAAGCTATCTTATGAGTTGGAAGTATAAAAAGAGCCATTCCAATGTTCCAAACATTAGACTGCCCTAAACTTCACTTTGGCATTACAGATATCAGTAAAGTATCAAACTACTCCAAACTTCAAAATTCTTTAGTTTTAAACAGTCTGATTGTTATGACACTCGACTACAAGAGGTCGAAATCTGATATTTATGACACTAGACTACAAGAGGTCTGATTTTGAAGAAGAAGAAGGAGGAAGAAGAGGAAGAGGAAGAAGGAGGCGGAACATCAGACCAAGGGGCAAATTAAAAAAAAGAAAAATTACATACCAAGGGGCCAATTAAAAAAAAATTTACATACCAAGGGGCAAATTAAAAAAAAAAAAATTACAGACCAACGGGCAAATCTAAAAAAAAAAAATTACAGACCAAGGGGCAAATTAAAAAAAAATAAATTACATACAAGGAGCAAATTAAAAAAAAAAAATTACAGATCAAGGGGCAAATTTAAAAAAAAACCTAGACCTATTGTAATACTCACAAAGTATTTGTGTAAAGATACAATTCTCCGAATTTGATATATCTATTGGATCCTCTAATTTTTGAACAGCCAAATCTAAGTACTAAAAAACTCAAAAAATTTTAATTTTTCCGATGACAACTAGAATCCAAAATTTTTCCCAGGCAAACAAATATTTATTATTTTTTTTACCAAAAACACTTTGCTAGATTCACAGTATTACTCATAAGTAGATAGAGCATTTAACAAACAAAGGATAAAATGTCAAAAAAAAAGAAATCGATGCAAGCACTTATGTTTCACTAGCATATATCTAATCTTCAGTTGTCGACATCAAACGCCTGCAAATGTGCTCCCTAACTGTTGGGTTACCGTTGGAAACCCAATTGATCGCATTGAATGCAAATCCAAATTTAAATATTTTGTTAATCGCCACAAAAACTCCTTTCGAGAAATATCAACTCCTAGGTATAAAAGAAACGGTACTTAAAGAGAATTTACTTTCAATACGAAAGAACCATAATCATCATTGACCGTTAAATTTGAAATCAAGTGGTTGAGGATATGACATTGCTTAAGCACAATGTCCAGAATAAAATTTTTTAAATTTCTCAAATGTTGTGCTACACTTTTATTTATTGAATTTCGTATTGAATGGCTAAAAATGATTGTGACCTCCTTATACCAAAAATAAATAACCTCATATAGTAAACAACCCCAAATAAAAAACAACTACAAGTTGTAAAAAGTTCAAACTTGAATTCAGTTTGGCTCACGATCAACCACCCCTCCATTTCTTATGTCCACAGCTTTTGCATCATTATACATAGCAAAATTGTTTCATGTGGTGGGGACTGCATTTCTACATTTACAATCCTCAAGGTATAAAGCATCCATCTTGAAGATGGATGCAAATCGATTGTCCATCTAAAAACAATTAAAACTAACAATCCAATTGTTACTATAATAGAATTATTATTATAATTCTCTAAAATTTATTTATTTATTCATATTCATGATCTCCATTTTAGAGATTACATGTCTTTAAAAATTAAGTAAAAAAGTCCATCTAAAAAATAGACTTTTAAGAGCTGACTCATTTCTACGTGGATTCATAGAAACCATGTCCTTATGTAGTATAGATAGGACATTACATTATGTACACTGAATACAATATTCATTTATAAATAATAAGCATAAACATGTCTCGCTATGTTGTCTTTTTAAACCAGCGAACTAGATACTCCTGACTGTGTCAGTTTCTATGCAACATTCCATAATCAACAGAAAATTAAGAAAAGAGGAACTGCGAATACTACTGAGCAGAGGGACCCATAAATAGAGAGCCTGACAATGAATTTGAAGGGGAGCTCATGATAAGGTGAGCATACCCCTTGAAAATAATAGAAATAAGTTCCTAGAAGAATGAAAGAGTAAGAATAATCCCCATTTACCCTGATGGAGAATTCAAATTAAAAATATGACAGGTTCAAATAATAAATAAGCAATAATATCAAGAAACCAGGACCAAGAAAAAAGTGGACCACAAGGTAAGAGAGAGGATTGCCAATGCATAGGTCCAAAGGAAAATAATTGAGCACTCACTTTGGCCTGCACCAAACAATTGTGTCATGGTACCTGCCATTGTCACAACCATAAGCTTATATTAGTTCCAGAGAGACAGAACCAAAGCTATTCCAGGTGAGAAAAAGTTGCCACTTAGGGAAAGAGGGAGAGTAATGACCATTGCAGGTTAGAGCAATTATGAGGTGAGAACTAGGCACAGTGTGTGTGTGCGAGAGATAGAAGAGGGATGCGAAGTGCCCCTGCAAGAGACGCACTAACACCCATTGAGGCGAAAAATGCAGAGACATTGTGTGTGTGTGTGTGCGAGTGAGAGAGAGAGAGAGAGATTAATTGTAATTGCAGGTTGAAGCAGCCACAAGGCATAAAACATGTGATCACAGTGTGTGTGTGTGTGTGCATGTGCATGATAGAGAGAGCAATTGCCATTGTCGGTGGGAGCACTTACTCGGTGAGAAGCTCACACAGAGATATACTGAGCATTGGATGAGTGCACATGTGAGCACACACAGACACGAGAGAGAGAGAGAGAGAGAGAGAGAGAGAGAGAGAGATACCTATCGCCATTGCAGGTGGGAGCGCATACTGAGTGAGAAGTATAAATTTATACAAGGGATCAGAAGAAATCAGTCCAAGGTGACTTGCCAACTTAATTATGCCAATACCAGCGAGAGGAAGAAGGATATAACGCATGATTATGATTCCTATGATGAGATTGATGCGCATCTCTGACGAATTCAAACCTAAGAAGAAACAAAAGACAAGCATTTCTCACTACTTTTTTCTGGATAGGCTAAAAAGTAGCTGAAAATCAACCTTCTTAAACTCTAATACACTTTTTTTGAAATGCCAATTTTTTTCCAATAAAGAATCCGATAACTAAAACTTTGCATTGATTCTCCGATAACCTCTTTAAAGAGTGCACTATTTATCAGGGAAATTTTCCTTTCAAAATGGATAATATAAATTTCAGGAGCAAGGCTGCTAGTAACACTACCACCATCTCTCCATTATAGCAATAATCAAGAATACGTCTGGGGTATTTAGAGGAAGTGTTTTGATCAGTTCTATGGAAAACAGGGCCATTCAAGCCAAATTCTATTATTTCATAAGGAAAATGAACCTTTGAGATATGTCAAAACTTAAATCATTCATACCCTTCAAAAGATTCGCTCCCAAAATAAGGGTCAAGGATGGGATTGCACCTTCACTGCAAGAAAAGAAAAAGACAATAACACAACCATTAAAGAAGA